TTAGAACAGGCTTTTCCCCGCAGCACGCCGTGCAATAAATACGCACAAAGAAAACGGCGGCCGTCACAACTTATGCCTAAAAATGTATAGTTTCATGCATCTGTTAAAAGACTGGACTCCAGCTACATGACGCGCAGCTGGAAACACTTCCCGCAAGTCGAGCTGCCCGAGATTCACAGAATTTACAGAAAATGTTACATTTTTGTGATTTATATCGTTATCGGGACGATAGAATTGTTATATCATTATATAAGATTTTGGTCATATCGCACAGCCCTAGCTCACGGTGAAAAAAGACAGAACATTTGATTCTAAACAAAATTCAAGACATTGAAAGGTTAAAACTCTGGGACCATGACAAAGACAGCTACACAAAAAGGCAAAAACTGTAAGTTATAAATTATGTAAGACAAAGTGGGAAAACCTCTGTAGGCTCCATTACTCCATGTGATCAGTCAAACTGTTATGTGATCAACTGTTGGTATAAAAACACAGCCTATAACAGCTTTACTCATATATAAAACAACTCTGAATAACTCTGAATATGAATCTGATTTTATTTCAGTTTAGGTATGAAAAATATTGTAATATTTACTGACAACAGAAAACAGATTTCATTGGTACTGATTGTGGTGACGTTGCCTAATGTACTGAAACGTTTTCAGCTTAATCTTAAGGTTTGATCATGTAAAATAATAAATCCCTGAAAGGTTTTCAGGGATTAATTATTTTATCACCACAGCACAAATATTTCTCAGTCATTTCAGACCCCTGGAGGTTCTTATCCATATATATACAGATATTATTATCATGTTGCAACCATCTAGCGACAGGCTAAAATGACCTTTTTTACCATTTGTGCACCTATAACACCTTATAAAAGCAGCGTATCATTATTATTTCATGGCAATAACATTCCAGTTCTATCCACAAAAGGTGATGTTTTGACATAGCAATGATATAATGATATATTATGATGCCATTAGGTTTCCCTGCAATTACCTTGCAGTGGATTAAAACAACCTGTTTTTGACCTAAATCGTCAAAAGCGTCTTTGAGCAGGCTTGAACAGTTCACACTATACTGTAGCATCAACATCTACTAATTATGAAACATTTGTGAAATACATCCGCCATAAATTGAAAATCTCAAAATATTGGTGAAGTAGTATTTCAGGATTAAACTTATCTGTGAGTTACGTAGTTACTGAACAAAAGCTGTGTGCACAGCTGAGAGTGGCAGCCATTTGAGACTACATGTGCAGAGCATGAAATGTGAAATGAGCTGTGAAACAACAGCTTCCTTTTATTTTATTTATGACAAGTATTTCACAGTTCTACTGTCTGCAGGAGAACTGCACGCACCTGTGCATGAACAATAGGACATCGCAACAGGACGTCTTCATGAGAGTGTTTTCATATCCTTGCATAGCTAGTCCTCCCTATGTCAGTGTAGCCTTAAGAAGGCTTCACTGTTTTTTGTGATCTCTGTGATTCCCCACTGTTCAAAAGAAAAACAAAACACAACTTCCACCTGCTTTCATCTTTTCATCTCAGGAATAATCTGAAGTATTTCAATAAGTGCACGATGTGAGGAACGACAGCAGAGGCTTACCCACAGTGGTGGCAAAGAGTGTCAAACAGAGTGTCAACCATTATGAGAAATGCAGCTGTGACTAAATCATTTTTGTGGTTTGGCAAACAATCAAAACAACCCTGTTTTTTCTTCATCTCTGCCTTGTTCCTTCTTGGCTGATGCCCTCATTTACTTCCACACAGCTCCTCCTTTTCTTGCCCCTCTGAAATTACGCCGACACCGTGATGCTGACCTCGCCTTCGTATTGCCCTTTCCAATACATTTTCAGCAAATAAGACAGCAGATGAGGTTGCACTGTTCACCTCATCTCTGCTCAGTCAACATCCTTCTGAGCAAAACATCGTAGTGTCAGATCAGCTGTGCAGAGCAGGCGAGAGGCTACAGCACATATTAATCCCTGCTCCCTGAGTCACAGCACAGCAGCTAAAACAGCCAGGGACTCTGGTGTAATACAGTATGCTGCCGCTGCTAGCATTGATTCAAGAAGGCTGTTTTATCGATCAGCTAACCTGCTGCTGTGGAATGAGGGAGGGGAAGAAAAGGGAAAGATGAAACATAAAGACGATAGGACGTGAGGATGAAGAGAGAAAGGAACGAAAGAGACAGACGGATGGACAGGATGAGAGAGGGACACACAGACAAAGAGTGTGGGGCGAATAACTTCTAGAGCCGTCCCTGATGGGAGCATCACCATGGTGATGGGCTGAATTAAAGCCCCTGTTTGGCACATCATCGCTCTGCCCCTGAGAACGAGGAGGCTTCCACTGCGATCTCTGCACGGCAGTCTGAAAGAATGAGTCCATTACGGTGCTTTCGATCGGCGCCCGTATTGCAGAAGAAAGGGGAAGTGATGAGCAGGTAGTGGGCCGTGTCACCAGTGCTGAGGGTGATGGAGCACCTGTCTGTGTGTAACGGCGTGTTTGTGGAAAAAAAAAAAAAAGGTGTGTGCCGCTGCAGCTGGCGTGAAACACATCCACTGGTCTGACCTCATTTTTGATGTCTGCTACAAAATGAGGTTATTTTTCAACATTTATTAGACCAGATAAATGCTGTTTTTCTGCGCGGCCACAGCCTGACAAAAAATCTGAAGCTGACATAGTGACACAGCTGAATGTTTCTCACTGATGTCGGCTAATTTATCTGGTTTACTCTGTAATTAGCTAGTGTTTTTCTTAGCGAGGGGAAAGTCAATATAGCACACATAAGATAAAGTTAAGAAGGGATTAGATCCTTGGCTGGAGGGCGAGATTAGCTCAAACAGCAGTCAGTGAGTGTCAGAAGGTCTGTTCTGAAGCATCCCGCCCCCCTGTTCACGCTTGGCTCATGCACTATGCGCAATGAGGGTTAAAGTGCAGACTTTACACTATTTTGTGTGCGTGTGTTCAAGTCTCAAGTGTGCTGCGCTGGCAGTTCGGTCAGAATATAAATAAAGGGTCTCATCTTAACCATCAGATCCTCCAGCCCCTCCCCTCTTATTCACCCCGTCCCCTTCAAGTATTGACCCAGGGCAGTTCGTCTTCTTCCTGCCAATACAAGCACATCTCCAACCCATCCAGCACATCTCTTCATCTCCAGCCAAACAGACACAAATCCACAGAGGGTGTGGATGCTTAAGAAACTGCTATGCATGTCAAAAGTGCAGGCCTAATCAGACTGACACACACAAACGCAAACAAACCAACAAACACTTTTAATTTTTTCTTTTACTCTTGACTCTACCTGTTTATGCTATGACTATATTTCTACTGAGTTCTGTGAAGTAGCTTCTTACCTTTCAGGAATACATATTCGTTAACCTTGAGGCAAGCTTATTATTAGATACAACACGACTGTGAATGGACACAGACCTTGTTTGTGGCTCTGCTGGATGGTTCTCTGGATGAAGCCCTGGACGTCTCTGTAGGTCTGGAGGAAGCGATCCTGGAATTGGCTGGCCTGCTCACTGCTAACCCCCAAGATACCCGACAGACGCTTGCGGCCTACACGTGATAAAACGTATCAGGGAGGAGGAAACAAACAGTTCAGTCAGAAAACTGCGATCTATGAAATTATTGATTTATTACAGCAGCAGGAGAGCAGAAGTTACAGTTTGGCGTCTAGGCTGCGAGCTCATCACTCCCCACAAACATAACACATATCAAACTGGCGAGTGATGAATAAAATATCCCCCCCGGAGCATGCAGGCAGGC